CTGCTCCTGATTCTCCTGCCTGTGCCCTGCCTTCTCCTTTGGGGACTGTTTTGTCTCCTCGATGTCCCTGTAAAGCCACAGCACGATATTTCCAAACTGCCCCTTCCCACTCAGATGAGGCATCAGGAAACCCCCCTTCCTGCAATTACTCTGAATGTGGGGGTGCCCCTTGAACCACAGAAGGGGGAGAATCAGCTGAGCTATTTACAGTCACCTCATCTTGTCAGGGAGGGTTTTTGTGAGCTCCTTCTGTTCCCTGAAAGATGGTGCAATAATGTTCAATTTGAGCCTTCCATTTCCCAACAGGAGCTGGCTGGGCCACCCTGTCAGGGGGTGGGATTCCTGTCAAAACAGGCTTGATGGCCTTAAAGGGTCCCCTTAAAATCAGACACTGCCAAGATACAATTTTTTCTGGTCTAGGCAGGTGAGTGTGTCTGGGGGATACAAACCATTCCTCCCTTCCACCAAATCCCCAGGAATTTTACTTCTTGCAAAGGAGGTTGTACCTTTGCAGGAGGGACATGCAGGTCCAGGGACTCCAGATGCCTGATCATGTCTGTTTGGGTGGTTTGCACAGGTGCAATTTCATTTCCTGCTGCCAAAATGCCCTCAGTATATTGGTGCACTGTTACTGCTGGTGCAGGAGGAACGAGGGGCAGCTCCTGTGCCAGGGCAGGATGTGCTGGAGTGCTGGAATAGAAGCCCAGATGTTTCCTTCCTCATCAGCCCAAGCCCTTCCCTTCAGAATGTCCAGCCCCAGTAAATGAGCAGGAAGTTTACACCAAATCATCAGGGTTTCACCTGCTTTCTCCTCTCCTGGTCAGCAGCATCTCACCTTTGCTGTTGTCTGGGTGTTTCCAAAAGCACCCACAGCAAATGTGCCTTTCTGTGAGGGAGTGATTCCATAGGCAGATGCACCTTCAGTGTTCAGGGCAGACACTGGAGTGCCAGGACCTACCAGAAAAGTGACAGGGGTTTTGTGGGGACCAATAGGACAGGTTATTAACGAGTGTCCTTTGGAATTTTTGGTGAGTTGTCCAATGTCAAACCACCCTTGGCCCCCTGGCTCAGCTCCAGGGGACAAAGAGAGGAGTCTCCTGTCCCCTTCCCCTTGCTGTGAGCCCTCCAGGGCAGGGGCTAGAGCAGGGACAGCTTTCAGGGATCCCTCCTTTGCTGGTCACTCTTGCATTAATATCTCTCATTTCTCCCTGGGTTGGCCATCTCTTAGGGATTTGGGGATTCCTTTTTACAAGCCTGCAATCCACAGGGGATTCCTTTTTTCCTGGTGTCCTCCAGTGCTGGTGGGTCCTCCTTGTCCAGGGCAGAACGTTTCCTTTTGGAGTCTTGCTGGAGGAATTCTTGTTTTGCATTCTGTGCCCAACTGATTGAGAATCAGTAGTGATTGAAGGTCCTGGACCACATTTTCTTCCCTGATTAATTAATTCCTGTGCCCCCTCCCCCCAGGTCCAAATCCTGTTTTCTCTGCAGTGATGACTGGGGGTTAAAGCTGCTTCTGAGGGGGCTGCAGTTCTGTCCCCTTTGCTGAGGCTTTCTATGTGTCCTTTGAGCTGAATGCCAATGGGTTTCACAGCCCCAGGGAGACCTCTGAGAAGGGCAATCATTCTTTCAGGGTCTGCAGGCAGCATTAAGGGGATTCAGGGCTTGGTGCTCATTCCCTATCACCCATCGTTTGTAAATAAGCAGCCTCTTGCACACTTTCCACAATCTGATGAACATTTCCCACCGTAGCCAGGGGATCTCCCTTTGCAGGGGGATTGAGTCCCCCTGCCCAACAGGCTGCTCTTTGGGGAAGGGACCAGGGCCCACGAGAATCTCCTGTGGTCAGGAAAACTCCAGCTCCCCAGAACCCTTCAGCCTCTTTTGCTGATAACAACATTTGGTCAGCCCCAGTAAGAGAGACTCTCCAAACATACTCAGATCCTTGAGGGGTTCTGCTCTATTCCTTTTTTAACTCAGCTAATTCAGTCACTGTCTGAGGAACTTCTTTTGCAGTTATTTGAGGGGTATTGTCATTTGAGAATCTTTGTATTCTGTTTTAATGAGGGGACGGAGCGACACCGACAGCTTTTCCCCTTGGTCCCGCAAAGGTTTGAAGTCAGAGAGGGGGATGTTTCTTTAGATGACTCCAGCTGTGACTCCTCTCTCCTTTCTCTCATTAATCTCGCCTACAGCTGCTCTCGGAGCGGCCCTTTCGTTCCTCTTCTGTCCCCGGAGGACACTGCAGCAGCCGCTCGTTCCTCCCGCGGATCTGCCCAGATTGCCCCGCGCAGTCCCGAGTTCCGCGCTGGTTCTTTCGGTGCCGCAACTACAACTCCCGTGGTTCCCCGCGCGGGGCTGGAGGGGCGGTGCCCGCTCTCTGATTGGCTGCGGTGGGGAGGTTTAAGCTCGGCGCGCGCGCCCAGCGCCATGTTGTCCAGCAGCGATCCAGGTGAGTGAGATGGCGGCTGCGGGGAGAGCGGGGCTGTTGGAACTGGGGAGCTGCGGAAAGGCTGGAGGGCTCGGAAGGGTTTAGCGGGGGGGTTCGGGGGCTCCCGAAGGGCGGAGCGCGGCGATTGAAACCCTCTCGGGGGCGGGGAGAAAGGGGGGGCTCTCCCGGCGATATGGCTTAAATGCGCAGGCGCGCCGGCCATGAGGGAACTGCAACCCCCATGAGGCTTTGCGCAGCGCCGCCATTCCTGCTGCAGCCACAGCGCCCCCTGCCGGCCCGGCGGACCGAGCGCAGGAAAAGGGGGTGCTGGTGCCCCCCTTCGAGCCCCAGAGACCCCCAAAACTCATCACACAGAGACGCCATAGGGAGGGGGGTCAGAGGGTCCCCTAAAGTCCAGTAATGGGGTTCAGGGGATCCCCCAGCTCCCAGGGAAGGGGTCCTGGGGGTACCCCACCAAAGTCTTGGGGAAGATGTACCAGATCTGGGTAAGGGGATCCCAGTGCCCCCAGTATAACCCAGTGACATCCCACTGCCTCTCAGCATGGCCTCATGATTCTCCAGTGAGCACCTAGTAACCCCCAGTATGACCCAGTAACCTCCCTTGTGTCCTGGTAACTCCCCAGTAACTCCCCAGTGCTCTGCCAGTGCCCCCCAGTATGTCCCCATTCCCTCCCAGTGCCCTCCCAGCATCCCTCAATAAACCCCCAGTCCCTCCCAGTATGCCCGTGTTCCCCCCCGTGTGTCCCAGTATCCCCCAGTGCACCCCAAAGCCCACCAAGTGTCCTCAACCAGATGCCCTTGGCCTTTCTGTGAGTAGGGGGGGAGAGAGAAGGGGGAACGGGAATGTTTTTGGGGTCGGAGGGTCAAGGTGGGGGCTCCTGCCGGGAGATGGAAGGTTGGGGACATCAGGGATGGCTTTGGGGCCAGTGGAATTAGGGATGTTAAGGGAGAAATTGGGGCCATGGAGAGGCCCTGGGGACATTGGAGACACCAGAGGGGGTCTCGGGGTGTCAAGGGGGAACTGGGGACACCAAGAGGGTCTTCGGGACCCCAGGCAGGTCTCAAGACTCACCTGTTCGTGGTGCTGCCCCTCCTGTTCCCCCCAGGCCCAAATAACCCCCCCCAAATGTCCCCTAACCACCCTTATATCTTTAATCCCCTCTCTTCACAGATCCCTTTGATCTTCCAATGCTCCCAAGATCACTTTTAGCTCCCCCAAATGCACCCAAAGCCCCCCAGATCCCCCCAAATCCCTTCCAAACCCCCCAAAGAGGGATCACCCGGCACCCTGGGAAAGGAACAGAGTGGGCAGCACTGGAGTCACTGGGCTGTACTGGGAAGCATAGGGAGGCAATGGGCTGTACTAGGAGACCCCTAGTCTCCAAAGCCCCTCCCCAGCTCCCCCAGGACTCTCCTGGACCCCAAAGCCCCCCAGGCCCCTAACTTGGTCCTGCTACCCCTTGAGCATCTCCAGCTCCTGCAGAATCTGCATTTCATGAGCAGATTTGCAGCTGACACCAAGCTGGGGGTGTGTTGATGTGCTGGAAGGCAGGAGGGCTGTGCAGAGGCACCTGGACAAGTTGGATCCATGGTCTGATTCCAAGGGGATGAGGTTCAACCAGGCCAAGTGCCGGGTGCTGCCCGAGGAGCTGGAGCTGCTGCCACCACCCCTGCAGCCGCTGCCCCAGCCAAGGGAGCAGCAAAGGCAGGGCCAGGAGCAGGGACAGCCCCAGGGGAGCTCTGGGGGGCCGGGAACCTCTTGGCTGGGGCAGGAAAGAGCCACTGGCCACGAGGACGGGGTGTTGGTCCCACCCACTGATGGGGCCGAGCAGAGCACGAGGCCTCCTCGGCCACCTCATGGGGTGACACTGTCCCCTCCCTCCAGGACACTGCCCTCAAAATCTCTGGGGGGACCTTTTATGTCTATTACTGGTTGCTGCTTCATCCTGGGGACCTGAGGGCCCCTCTGCAATCCCATCCCTGGGGCACAATCTGCTCTCCAGAGCTCGACTGACTCCCTGCAGACTTTACAGGGCAATCTGTGCTCGCAGCTGCATCCTGAGCCCGAGATCAGTTTGTACCCCCAAGTGCTGATCCAGCCTGGGGGCCCAGGGGATCCTGTGCCATTCCATCCATGGTGCAGGAGTCACCCTGCTGCCCTGGAGTCCCTGCAGAGGAACAAGTGCCATCTCTATGTTTGGGAGCTGCCGAGGGTGGAGGGCGGAGCGGGCGATGCCGGAGCTGGGGGACCCCCGGCAGGCTGGAGGGGGGAGCACGGAGAGGGAGGAGCCCCGGGACCCCCGGGAGCCTGAAACGGGGGGAGCGGACAAGGGGAAGCCTGGAGAGTGGGGACCCCTGGGATCCCCAGGACAACAAAGTGGAGAACCTGGAGAGGGGGAATGTCTGGGAAGGCGGCACCCCAAAGGTGAGAGTCAGAGGAGAAAGGACCCTTGGGACCTCCAACACTCCCAGCATCCCTAAGTGGTACCCCGAACATTCCAGAGAGGAGAGACCCTCAAACCCCAGAGGGGAGAGACCAGACAGGGGGAACTCCTGGGAGAGTACTTTTGGCATGAATCTTCATATTTTGGCTGAACCTTAAATTTTTCCATTGTGATGGAGGGGTGTCAATCTCGCTATTTTTGAGGCACTTTATTTCCTGAATGTCAGCGGATTGGGTTTTTCTGGGCTGAATTTTGGTGTTTTGGAGGTTTTTATGCTCCCAGGATGCTGGGTGAGTTCTAGAGATGGACTTGGGCAGGAGGAACCCCCAAGCCAATGCGCTCAGCCCTTGTTTCCCCCCAGCAGGATTTGTCCTTCCCAAAGCTTGGGCGGATGGAGGAGAAGGCTGCAAGGAAGAGGAAGAAGCTGCCACGGGCCCCCCAGGCAGGTGAGGAGGAAGTCAGTGCCCCTTTGGCCCTGTCTTGTGGTGCACCTGGGGGCCAGAACTGGGGGGATGTGCTTGGCCTTCCCTCTGGGCCGGAGGCAAATCCCCTGCCTGTCCTTCCTTCCTGCCCCAGGCCCCGAGCTGAGGACGGAGAGCACGGAGGACAAATCCCCCCGGCAGAGCCTGGTGGGAGAGGCCGTTTTGAAGGGCTCCCCGGTGCAGGAAGGCAGCGGGGAGGAAAAGGCCCGGAGATGCCCCCGGAGGAGGGGCTGCAAAGCCAACCCAGATTGCTCTGAGGAGGAAAGACCTGTCCTGTGCCAGAGCTCGGAGCTGGTGGTCCCTGAGCAGCCTCCCAGCAGGGAGAAGCCCTTCAGGTGCTTGGAATGTGGGAAGAGCTTCAGGAAGAGCTCCGACCTCCTCAGCCACCTGCACATCCACACTGGGGCACGGCCCTACACGTGTAGGGAATGTGGGAAGAGCTTCAGGCACAGCTCCAACCTCCGCATCCACCAGCGCATCCACACTGGGGAACGGCCCTACAGGTGCTTGGAATGTGGGAAGAGCTTCAGCAACAGCTCCAACCTGATCCAGCACCAGAACATCCACACTGGGGAACGGCCCCACACGTGTGGGGAATGTGGGAAGAGCTTCAGGAACAGCTCCCACCTGATCCGACACCAGCTCATCCACACTGGGGAACGGCCCTACAGGTGCTTGGAATGTGGGAAGAGCTTCAGGACAGCTCCACCCTGATCCAACACCAGCACATCCACACTGGGGAACGGCCCTACACGTGTGGGGAATGTGGGAAGAGGTTCAGGTACAGCTCCCACCTGATCCGACACCAGTTCATCCACACTGGGGAACGACCCTACAAGTGCTTGCAATGTGAGAAGAGGTTTCAAAGCAGCTCCAATCTCCTCAGGCATGAGCGGATACACACAGATGAGAGGCCCTTCCGCTGCACCGACTGCGGGAAGGGCTTCAACCGGAACTCCCACCTCATCTCCCACCGGCGCATCCACACCAGAGAGAGGCCCTTCAAGTGTGGGGAGTGTAGGAAGAGCTTCAGCCACAGCTCTGCCTTGACCAAACACCAACGGACCCACCGGTAATGGAAAGCCCTACGAGTGCCTGACCGCGGGAAGAGCTTCGGCTGCTGCTCCCACCCCAGATGACCCCCCTGATGGTGAGGCAACCCCTGGAGTCCAGTGACTGTCAGTCCATCCCTTTCTACCAGAAAGGACCAGTCCCCTTTGCCAGGGGCAGGTTGTGCCAACAGAACCCTTCTTGGGGGGTGTGTGGAGATTCCTGCCTTGGCTGGGACCCCCAAGGTCACTGCTGGAGGTTGAGAGCAGAGATCTCCCCACGAGCGTTGGTCTGGGGGAGTTCCATCCATCTCTAATTCATAATTCTTGCTTTGGTGCCAATTTGAGTAGAATTGCTTCAACAATTGCTTTAGTGTAGAACACTGTCCTATCTTATGCTGTCCTACTGGTAGTTTTAGTGTTTCTATTGTGCAGTAAATAATTCTGATGAAGATGTTTTGTCTGATCATTTGTAACCCTTAATAATTCTTTTCTATCAATAGATGTGATTTGCCATCCTTAAAACCTGGGGGACAAAAGTGGTTCAGTCCCACCTCTGTAATTCCTCTGAACTGAAAGTGTTGGCATAACCCAAGGCTGAGATTGGATCCAGCAGCCCCAGCACCCTACAGAAAGTTGGGAGCTCAGGGGGCCACCCCCCTTTCCCAGCCCCTCTAAGCCCAAAGACCCCCATGGGACCATCAGACCGGCCTGACCACCCCCCCTTTTTCACCCTTCTCTCTGTTCCTTCTACTTTTCCATGGTCCTCTCAATCCCCAGCCCCTTCCAGATCAGTTTTGTGATCTCAACCCCCACATTTTTCCCTCCTCTCCCTCCCCTTCCACATCATCCTCCCACTCCCCAGTGGGGTCCTGGGTGTTGTGTGATTATTTTTGGGGTTCTTGAGGGTCTGTGGGGAGGTTTGGGGGGGTCCCAACACCTTTTGGGGTGAGCTGGGTGCCTACTGGGGGTTTGTGCCCTCCCAAAGTCCCCCAGAGCAGGGTGACACGGGGGGAACACAGGGAAGTCCCCCTTCCCAATCCATCCCGGGGTCGGTTCTGCCCCCCCAAACTCGGCTCCACCCCTTGGGATCCTCCAACCCCACCCCCCCCAGTGCCCCCCAATAACCGGGACTGGGGAGAGCTGGGAAGCTGCCCCCTCAGTAACCAGAACTGGGGCAACTGGGATCATACTGGGAGCACCTGGGCCCCTACTGGGGTCACACTGGGATCATACTGGGAGTGACTGCAATATTACTGGGAGTGTGTGAGAGGGACTGCAGCCATACTGGGGATGAGTGGGATCAAACTGGCTTTGTACTGGAAATGTCCGGAAGCTTCTGGGATCATACTGGGGGTGACTCCTATCCTTCTGAGATCAAACTGGGATCATACTGGGAGCAGCTGGTTCTACGCTAGGGGCAACTGGGAGCTCTTAGGATCCCACTGGGAGGAACTGGAAGCAACTGGGACCATGCTGGGCACAACTGGGATCATCTTGGGAGCAACTGGGCCCACAGTGAAGGTGGCTGGGGTCATACTGGGAGTGACTGGGAGCATTCTGAGGGCAGCTGGGACCATGTTGGCCCAACTGAGATATACTGGGAGCAAGTGGGATCATGCTGGAGGTGACTGGGATCATACTGGGAGTGACTAGGACCACACTAGGGGTGACTGGGAGTGGCTGTGAGCAACTGGGATCATGTTGGAAGCTACTGGGAGGAACTGGGAGTGAGTAGAACCACACTAGGGGCATCTGGGATATACTGGGAGAGACCAGGAGTGACTGGGATCATACTGGGAATGACGGGGAGCATACTGGGAGTAACTGGGAGCAGGCTGAGGGCGACTGGGAGAGACTGGATGTGACAGGGATCCTACTGGGAGGGACTGGAACTGTAGTGGGTGAGTGGGAGCAAGTGGGACCCTGCTCGGGGCAAATGGCTTTATACTGGGAGTGACAGGGAATGTCTGGGTTCATCCTGGCTGTGACTGCCACCATGGAGGGTGTCACTGGGATCATACTGGAGTCATAATGGGAGGGACTGGAACTACAGTGGGGTGACTGGGGAGCAACTGGGAACATGCGGGGGTAACTTGGATCCTACTAGAAGAGACTGGGATCATACTGGGACTGACTGGGAGCATGCTGGAGGCAACGTGGCTATACTGGGAATGGCTGGGAGGGATGGGGATAATTGTGGGAGTGACTGGAACCAGAGTAGGGGTGAAGGGGAGCAACTGGAACCATGGTGAGGGCAACTGGGATCATAGTGGGAGCAGCTGGGGTCCTGCTGGGGTCCTGCTGGGGTCTTACTGGGAGTGACTGCAATAATACTGGGAGTGTGTGGGAGGGACTGCAGCCATACGGGGGATGAGTGGGATCAAACTGGCTTCCTACTGGAAGTGTCTGGAAGTTCCTGGGATCTTACTGGGGGTGACTGGACTCATACTGGGATCATACTGGGAGCAACTGGAACCATGCAGGGGCAAATGGCATCATCCAGGCAGTGCCTGAAAGTGCCTGGGGCCATCCTGGACTCAGACTGGGAGTCCCTGAGAGGGAAAGGAACCATCCTGGGGGGGCTGGGATCAACTGGACCACCTTGGAGGAAACTGGATCCTATTGGGATTGACTGGGAGTGACTGGGATCATAGTGGGAGTGACTAAGGGACCAGGATCAAACTGGGAGCGACTTGAACTACACAGGGGGAAACTGGGAGCCAGTGGGGCCATGCAGGAAGTCAACTGGGAACATTCTTGGAGCAACTGGGATCATGTTGGAAGCAACTGGGAGTAACTGGGAGTGACAGGGTGCATGCTGGAGGCAACTGGCATGAACTGGGAGTGACTGGGATCACACTGATGGGAACTGGGACCATCCTGGGGCAAGTGGAAGTCACTGGGTGGAGTGGGTTTCTGTGGGTGGGTTTTGGTAGCGGGGGGGCTCCAGGGGTGGCTTCTGTTGGAAGCTGCCAGAAGCTTCCCCTGCCCCGTGGAGCCAATGCCAGCTGCTCCAGGACGGACTTGCTGCCTCTGGCCAAGGCTGAGCCCATCAGGAGCAACAGGAACAGCTCTGGGATAACAGATTTAGGGCCAGAAGGACTCACTGGAGAGGTCCATCCAGGACTGTCTCCCATGGGGGAGACCCCACCGGAGCAGGGAAGGATCCAACTCCTCTCCCTGAGCAGTGACAGAAACAACAACTGACTGTAACCCCCATTGCTGTCCCCCTGCACTGCTGGGGGGAGGAGGGAGAGCTGAGAAAGAAGGAGGATTAGGGGGAAGGTGTTTTCAGACTGTTTTATTTCTCACTCTTTGGCTTTTATCCTGTCAGTAATAAATTTAAGTACTATCCCTACTTTGAGTCTGTTTTGCCCTTAGGAAGCAACTTTCTCCCCACCCTTATCTCTACTCAGGAATCCTCTACTGTTTTTTTTCTCTCCTCTGTGGAGTGTCAGAGGGAGGGGGAGGTAACAGCTTTTAGTGGGAGTTTGAAATCCAGCCAGGGTAAACCCACTGAACCAACCCATGTGCTTGAGGCCCTTTTGTGATGTCACAGCCCACCCTCTCCATTCTGGAATAGCCCTTGGCAACCAAAGAACCAATACCTCACAAGGTCAGAATGCAGCCCCACCCATGTGCCCCTTTAGGATGTCCCGGCCCATCCTCTCCATTCTGGAATATCCCCTGGAAACCAAAGAACCAATGCCTCAAACCCCCACAGTGCAGCCCCACCCATCAGCCATGGGACTCTTTGTGAAGTCACGGCCTTTCCCCCAGGAAAGAAAACCTGTAACCTTCGGGTTTCAGGTGCAGTTGGTGGGCCACCCTGGGCACTCCATGGGCAGCAAGAGCTTTCTGTCCTGGCACCTTTTGTCTGGCAGGAATCTTTGTCCAGATTCCAATTTGGCAGTCGGACTGACAATTCCAGCGCGGGGCTCCTGCAAGCGAACAACAGCCCTGCCCTCCAGGAAAGAAACCCCTTACCCTGGGTCTCTTTTCCTCTTCCTTCAAATACAACCTGCAGGGCAGCTTTCTGCCATCTCTTCTCTTGGGAATTGTTAAGATAGACCCGCTCCCAGGTTTTCTCTCACCCCCCACACAATTGCTATAAGTTGAGAGAACGTTTATGCAGAAAAACGAGATTTGATTAGGGAGAATAATATTAAGATTTATTTCTAGCAAGTTAAAAACTAAAGAACTATATCTACAACAATTCTGATTAGGTAAAAGTACTACGTATTTATAAAAATACCCTTACTCCTTTGTACCAGTTCAGGAGGAGAAGGAGTCTCTTTCCAGAGCTCCAGGTCTCAAAAGTTCATCTTCTATTATCTTTAGGATAACAACTCGGATTCGTTGCAGCTGGAACTGTTTTTCTTTCTCTCTCTCCCCTCTATGTTGGCCTCAGGGCTGGGCCTACCCCCCTCCTGGGCTAAGACCAGAGCCTGGGGGGTTACCCAGGCCCTGTAGGGTCTTCCATGGACTGCAAAGAGACACTTGCCTACCATGGATCTTCACCACAGTGTCACAGGGGATAATGGCTTTTGAGTCCACGCCTGTTTCCTGTGGGGTCCCTTCCCACAGGAGAACAGTCTTTGATAGACCTCTCCAACATGGGTTCATCCCTTAGACAACAGTTCTTCCATTCTCTGCTTTCCCTCAGGGTCACAACATCAGCTTCACTAGCATGGATCCCTCCCTAGAATCCCACATCTTATCCGAGCTGTCTTGCTCCAGCCTAGGTGTCGCTCTCCATGGGCCACAGGTCTCCAGCAGGATTCTGTTTCATTCTTCCATGCTTTCTCATGGAGTCACATCTTCTTCAAGCATTCTTCTTTAAGCATGGGCTCCTTCATGAGCTGCAGAGGGTCATCTCTGCTCCCCAACAGTTTTCCACTTGTGGCAGGGATTTTTAGTTTTCAGTCTCTTCCCTGCTGAAGGGAGAGAGAGAGAGAAAGAGAGGGGAAAAGTAGCCCCCACTTCAAGCTTCTCTTCCCTCTCCTCTGATTGCTAGCTTTGACCTTGGAGGTTGTGCTATCTCTCTCTGGAATTCCTTTTGCAGCATGTCTTGTCCAGGTTCTTCTCTGAAACTTTTTTCTCTCTACTCTGTTACAAGAGAGAAGGGGGGCTTCAGTGCCACAACTGCCCCCAGCCTAGGGCCAGGGGAGGAGGGGTCCCTGGCCCCCTTGGGGCCTGCCTCCTCTCCTGCATGGCTACTAATTTCATCTGCATCACCACCTTCTCTTCCGTTTCTTTAATATGTAATTGGCAGAGGCATTACTAAAACTTCTGATTGGCTTTTTCTCCAGAAATCCATCTGAGGAAAACCATTTTCAGCCCCAGTGTGGGGGAGGTTTGGCAAAACCACAGCAAAGTTGGATGGACAGTCCCAACTCTCTCCAAGATCAGTCGAGGGCTCTGAGCCAGAGAGGGGATGAGAGCCGGGTACAGGCTTGGGAATTGCCGGGAGGGTTTTTGAAATGAGCGTAGGGAGGGAATGTCTAAAAACAAGTCCCTTAGGAGAGGGAAACAGAGAGGTTGAGTTTTGACCCCAGCACTGGAGTGT